AAAAAAAAAAAAAAATCCAACAGAATTTTGATTAAAAATTAAAAATTTCTTTTATCCAAGCATAGCAGACCTCTTTGGTTATCAGATTGTCAGAAATAAGAAAATAAAGATGTTCTCACCTCCCCAGAGGTTAATTCTGGGCCAAGAAAGCCCCACAACATACAACAAATGTGACATACATCAAGCCTGTAGCAACTCACCAACAGTCTATAGAGATCAGTTACTGGTGACCCATATTCAAAGCAGAGAGTCAAATTTGTCAAGAGACTCAGGAGGAGACAAGGCACCTTTGGGATGAATACAAAAGTATGGCTACATCATACAGTGCATATGCTTTACATTATGTATAGTCATTTAGAGTTATAAAAATAAATTTGGGATTGGTGATGTTTGTGTGCAGCAGCAGAAATGAGATTTCCCCATAGTCTCACATTTAAATCTAACCGTCCCAGTATTGTTTAAGCTATATAAATGTGGCTATATATAATTTTTTAGGGTTTAAAACCAGTATAAAACTAGCTGATGACAATAAAATCTTGCTCTAAGTTCCACCCCTTAAATTTACTGTCAAATATAGCATAAATAGTACAGTTTGACATAAGCATGGGCCACTGTTTTAAAAAAATTAAATTATAAGGGAATTCACTTTTACACAAGCAGAGTTACTGCCAAGTTAGCTGGGATTACTTGTAAGAGTTGCTCTGATATTTTGTTAAAACCAAGATAGCTAGCTAAAGTTTATGTTGAACTTGCCAGCTGGCAAGCTAGCAGCCCATCCCAATTACAGTAGCATCGTTTTAAGTAAGATATGAGATCAAATCCCATCAAACAAGGTCTCACTGCCCGTTTTCCCTACCTTGACATCCATTACCAACACCTGCACCCTCTGAATGACAAAAGTGAGGGGGAGGAGCTGCAAACAACCTTTTATGGAAACCCTTGGATGCAGGGAGGGAAACCCCATGAAATATACATTACTCTAGTTGCAAGATCTATCAAAAAATAAAAATAAAAATAATTTAATAACAATACTGTTTATAGCCACTTTATATTAAATGATTAACCATGTTTTTTAATTTTTGCTTTGTTAAAGCTCTCATTAAAGTCATTAAAATAATTTCATTGAATAAAAAAATATTGAAATGATTTAATTTCAATATGCCGTTAACATAATTTGATATTTAATTACATTTTTGGTTATTTTGGATTTGATTAAAGCTATCTTAAATTGTTTGTTTCTTAGTAGTTAGTTAATTTGTTAATATCTATTTCCCTTGTGTATCTATTTTTCCAAAAATTCTCCTATGTCAGTTCCCCAGACTTTGGCAGCTTATGGTTTTTAAACAGTTTGCTGTACCTTCTTTCCCTTTTATTACTTTATGATCAAATTTTACTATGAATCATGATCATCAAATAATTAGGGGGCAAAATAAAACCCACTTTTTCAAAACTTCAAACAGGCCAAATCAGATCAGTCCCTTTCTGCTAAATATGGGCATAAGTGTAATATACTTAAGGTTGAGAGACTGTTAATGTGGAGATCATTCTGGGCTTTGAGAAATTACCAGTGACATTTTCCACTATTTTTTTCCAACATTATACAGGAATGAATTATGCAAATCAATCAGAAATCAGCTGCAGCCATGTGTCCTTTTACTGTCTTTCCATGTAAGCAACTTTGGAAGGGAAGTATCCCTTCTTTTGCATACATCTTACCTACATCTACATTATATGTAGAACTTCTTCATCATTTTATTATTTTGAGCTAATGCAATGAATGCAGGTTTCCAAAAGTCAGGTCTTAACTTCTCACAAGCTTGCGTGTTTCAATTACACGGGAACAAATAACTTAATTCGACTGAACACACAGTGCAGAAGTACTTTGTCTGCTGCAGTTGTAAGAGAAGACGTGGAAGGCATAGTCTGAGCTGAGGCAGGTCATCTAAAGCAGGTCACATCTAAATATAACCCAAACAGCTTAACACAGTGCTAAACAAAAACACAACCAGGCTGTGAGCTGGAGACCTCAAGGGGACTTATTCAGATCAACCGGTGAGACCGACTAATATGACTAACATGAAATGCAAGTTAAGTTTGTTGTGTAATTTCCAATAGGACTGCTTTACATTAGCATGCTTATGTCCTGCATGAATAGTGGTGATACCGTGCCAGAAACCCCTCACTAATAAGCAAGCTGCATGCTGTGCAGAAAGCACGATCTACAGACTGATAAGGTTTCAACATTGTATAATTCACCTTCATACTGTACGCAAAACTCCTATTTATGAAAAGAATTCTTTCTCTTGCTTTTGTCTCTACATATAGAAATGGATGACTTTGAACAGGAGGCCATAAATGAAGACTTGATTGAGTTTGCTATTCGAGAGAGCATTCAAGATGCCTACAAGCTGCCATGCTCAGTGCAAACAGATAGGTATGGAAAACCAAGAAGGGTCTTTAATGTTTATTATTAATGAAAATTGACAGTTAGGTCAATAAGTATTTGGACAATCATACAGATTTTGTAATTTTGCCCGCATACAATGTCACAGTGGTTTTAAATGAAACAATCCAGATGTGATTGAAATGCAGACTTTCAGCTTGAGTAGTGTTCCCAGTATGCTTCAGATCACGATCTGTTTTCATTGTGAAGCATCATCCAGTCACTTTTGCAGCATTTGGCTGAATCCGAGCAGAGAATACAGCCCTATGCACATAATTCATCCTGCATCTAACCAAGTCAGAACACTGTTGAGGAGGTAGGCGTACCATTGTCAAAGTCTACAATCAGCAGAATGTAAATACAGAAGGTTTACAACAAGGTGCAAACCACTGGTTATGCTCAAGAACAGGAAGGCCAGATTAAAGTTTGCCAGAAAACATTGAAAAGAGCCTGCACAATTGTGGAAAAAACCAAGATTGTATGAACTTTTACTATACTTAACCTGTACTTATGGACCTAACTGTATTGTTAGGAGTTGTTTATGTTCCAAATTAACGAAATTTTAAGGCAATCAGCCTCAAAAGTATAATGAAGCTCTATCATAGTGTTTCCAGAGTAAACGCTTTCATTTTCATAGGAAAAACACAAATAGTGTGGAGTTTATGAAGATTATGGCAGCCATTCAAAAAGGTAACGTTCCCTTTAATCATGTTTGACTTTTGCATGCGGCATTAAGCAAAGACGTACAAGGCGGGCGCACCTACATTTAAACTCACTGTTGGTCATAAATATTAAAAATGTTTCCCTATGTGTGGCTCTTGTTTGTATCTTGGCAGGTGATGTGGATGCGCTGCAGGAGCTGTCAGGTTGTGCTTCTGCCTTCAGAGAGAGTGACAGCAGGGGCTGGCTGCCTCTGCACGCAGCAGCTGTGCAGCTGCAGCCAGATGTCCTAATCACGGTGCTGCAGGGTGAGAGTGAAAACCAGTGTGATTTCAGCTTGATCAAACTATTTAGTGGAATGCAAGCTACAATTACTGGAGCAGTGGGCTGAGTAGATTTCCACCTTTAACGCAGTCTTAATGGTGTTCTTATTGCAGTGTTGGAATCCACCGACCTGACCCTGGAGGAGCAGACGGAGGACGGTGATACAGCTCTGACTCTCGCAGCTGAGGCCGGCCAGGTGGAAAACATCAAGCTACTTCTGAAGCACGGAGCTTCACCGCACAACAACAACAGCAGGAATGAATCACCTCTGCTAATCGGTAGCACAACACACTCAGACAGCTGACGCAACACCTTCATTATTATGCTTTTTTTTAATGGAATCATTTTTTGTTTTCCATTTTTGCAGCAGTGAGACAACGCTCATACGACATGGCTATTTCCCTCATCATGGGCGGGGCCTTTGTAGAGCAGGTGTGTCTCACCAAGTGGAGGGCCATTCACGAGGCAGCAAAGGTGAATGGAGCTGAATCTAAACTCAAAGTTCAGGTTTAAGCACAAAATTTTCTTTTTCTCTAGTTTTTATTACCTTTGTTTCCTTCTGTGTTCATGTGTGTCCTATCCCTCACCCCAGGAGGGTTGTGCAGCTATTATGATGCTGTTACTCCGACATGGAGCCAAAATAACAAGCAGAGACGGTCATGGTGTGACACCGCTGGGGATCGCAGCTGAACATGGCAACTATGAAGTTTTAGACATACTCATACATCACGGTAAAACAGTATATGTTGTATCATGCCTCATAACAACTTCCTGAGGTGTCAGACATTGCTGTATTTTTTCTGAACTCCACTAGGTGGTGATGTGAATGCCCAGGCAAGCAATGGAGACACAGTCCTGTATGATGCAACTGGATCTGGAAACCTGGACTGTGTCAAGCTGCTTTTGGAGCATGGAGCCAACCCAAATGTTGCCAGCTACGCCTGCCAGCTGCCCATCCATAGAGCTGCGTATGAAGGATACATACTGTGAGTTCATGCAACTTGAAGCTCACTCTCAAACCCAATAACATCTGAATTCTAACTAATAATCCCCAAAATAAATA